CACACATACATACATATATATATATATGATTTCCTCCCTAATATTATACCTCTCCCAAAACTCTACTGATACTAACGTTTTATTTAGCAAAAATATGAATCATTAAAATTAGAGCCTATTCTTCTTTGGTTTTTAAAGGCAACAAATTGGTTTAGTAGTCACTAAAAGCAGGTCTTGGAAGCGTCAGTGGTATTGCCATAATTCGATAAAGATTGCGGTTCTGATGGTAAATGTCAATGGTAAGTTACACAATGAAATATTAACGTACTGATGCACACACAAACCCAGACCCCTGCCCACTCTGAGACACCTTCAATCCTACTGTCTTTCTAAATTGCACACCTTTGTCTGAACATTACAGCCGGATCCATGTTTGCTGAGGTCATTCGGACAACTTGGCGAATTTCTTTGGCAATCATTCTGAGTTTCTCAAAATTTACCAGGCCATCCACCTTAGAATCATTTCCTGCATAATTGAAACACACGCACATAGGAAAAAAAAGAGAGTAAGAAATACTTTTTTAATGGGCAATGTGTTTCTAAGTCCCCCACGTTACCCCTCCTCCCTCCGCGTCCCGCCATCAACAAAACCGCTTCAATCAAAATAGCAGGAAAACAGGAAACTCTGGCAAAACACAAGTGACAATCAGGCCCACTCAGACTATCTAGCACTGCTCTTATTAATCTCTTTCTAAAGTAACAAGTATTAGTGGGAGGAAAAATGAGTAAGTGAACTATGCCCAAATTCATTGGCATAGACGTTAATATAAATATAGAACTGACATCAACAGCGTCCACATTCCGAAACGAGTTCAAATAGTTCTGAAACATCACAACCAAGAATTGGGCATATTTGGAAATGCTTAACGCCTTAACCAATTGTGAACAGAACTTTGTGTAAAAGGGAAGGAAAAAAAAAAAGGGGGGAAACGTTTAAACAAAACCCCTTGAAAACGCTGAAAGCGAGAGTAGGAGGTGTTATATCATCGTAGCTGTCTGAAAGCCACAACATGGAACAAAAACCTAGAAACACCGCAGCAACAAGTTTTTGTAAGAGAAATATATTTAATGGAGTGTAACTACCAATTAGCACACTCACCTACTCTCCCACCCTCAACCTTAGGGGAGCTGATGAAGATTAAGCACTGCTTTTAAAATATTAAAAATACGCATTTAATTTTTAATTTTTGTCTGGGATCAGTCTCTTCCATTATGCATTCAGAGTTCTATTTTGTTTTACTCTTACAAAGGATGCATCAAAAGCATCCTTCTGGTGGCAGCTTCTTTTAGACATTTGTTGAATCCTGGAGCACCGAAGAAAGGACTAAAGCATTCAATGCTTAGTGTATTATTTCTTTATGTTTGACATTACCTTCGTGCAGAAACGTGATATCCTTCTTGACAACAGGAAAAAGTGGAATAATTGGAGGCTGCATGCTCTGGCTGCTAAGGATGTTGCGGTATTTTGCCATGTTTCGAGATGGATCAAAAAGATCTTGAAGGTCTCTGAGGTGCTTTTCGTACTTGCTCGGTAGCTTTTCCCAAGTGCCTCTGAGCCGTGCTACTGGTGCTAGATTTAACCCACTGTAAGGCAGATGCATTTCATTATTAGCTGGGAGCGGAATCATTGCCTTTCATAAGGAAGTAAAGGGTTGGGGGTTTTTGTTTTAAGGATTAAAAATAGCTTTCACAAGGTTAACTGTAAAGCTGGGTGAATGCCAGGCTGCAAATTCATCACAATAAACCTCTGCTGTTCACTCTCGTGAGCATGTGAAAAGGAGAACTGCAAAAAGCATGATTGTTTCCTATTCACAAGGTACAAATTTCAAGTTAGCCTGCCAAAACAACCTCTCTGTAACACAGTACTGATGCCCATTTAATTTAAAAACCGCTTCTCTCCTGTAAAAATGTATACCGCAATAAGGACAAAAAGGGTGAAAACTTAATGAGGTGAATACACGGCTACAGTAGGAAGTGAGAACAGAGCACAGCTTATCCCAAGCAAAAGTGGCAAGACTTGAGAGGAGTATGTTTGGAGCATTTGCAAACGGGCACCAACAGACTGAGAATTAGAAGCGGCAGATATGCTAAAACTTGCTATTGTGCCTTCATTCTCATTAAGTAAAAATATATCCATAATTATCTGGATGCAAAAAACCAAAATTTAAAAATGAGATATATCCATCCTCCCTATCACAATTTGTCACCAACTTTCCTCAAGAAATTTTGCAATGACTGCAAAGTCCTCATAGCTGCAGAACTGGAGAGTGATATTCTCCAGCTTTCATTTGCAAATCCAGAATCATACAATTACTAAATGTCCTATTGAAGAAGATTTTTTTTCTCATTTTGAAAGCTTCAAAAACTTATTTTTATTTGGGTTTTTTGTTTGTTTTTTTTTTTTTAAATATGGATTTCTCTCCATGCTATTGTCAAACTACAAACAAAGCCTTCTCTCATGTGAAAAATCAAACATATGCCACCACACAGCTCCTCTTTTACATGCGACCTTAGGATGGTTATCTTCCTATTTCATGAAGCATATGGCATCATATTGAGATGCAATGCAAGGCAAGAAAGAGAACCCCTGTGGCATATGCTAACAAAACGCATATTCCTCTGGAAATAAGGGTAAAACAAAAGCTAATTCATTTGCTTTTTTTTTTTTTTATTGACCAAAGACCACTTCAGTCACGGCCTGATTAGACTTAACTGCCAAGCAGGAAGAGTCATTTCTTCACCTTCTATATATCATGAGAAATTAGGCAGCAGAATATAGAAATTAGATTCAGTATCCACACATGTATTCACCATGTAATGAGTAGCCACAGCCCCAACTGTTGCCCAGCACCCTTTAAGGAAATCCATGAATTCTTTAATGTATGACTAAACAGAAGCCAATACCATTTGGTAAGCTGGCTAGACATGGAAGAAAATATTTTAAAATGGTCTTTTCAAAGAGAGTGCTGGGATACAGCATGAATCCAGATCTTTGATGAATCACAGCGCCTTTTAGGTAAAACCTGGGTATAAGATAATTGCAAATAAAGAAAATGCTGAACTCATGCTGTTAAAGTAGCAGCATCTAGTCTAAATCAGAAGAGAAAGTCTAAATGTGCAAATGAAGAGGAAGTAAAAAAAAAATAGAGAAGCAAGCAGATGACAGGAAAGAATGAAAAGGAAAATTAAACTAAAACAAGACCGATTTGAGGAAGTCCTCACAATGAAAGGAAGAAATAAAGTAATCTCATCATTTCAGATATGACTCAGTGCACACTGAAAAAGTAACAATGACTGAAAAAAGAAGAGAAATTTGGTGCCAGAAACACAGAAAATGACAGCGACGTTCAGGCAGGTTTCTGAAGTTCATCCATCAAACAGTGCTTTTGTC